GGAAAGAGGAGAATATCCTGTGAGCAATCCAACTCAGTAAGGGGAAAATGGCTGATTTTATAGATATTCCTCATTCTCCCCTTTCCTATTTCTGTCACACCAGACAGAAGTTAAACCCCCATGAAACACAACAGCAATAGCAGCTACTCTTAGAACCAAGAAAGTAAGCCTAGTTTTGAGAGCAAAAGTGAAAACATTAGTGATTGCATATAGAGGCAGAAATGCATGAGAATATTGAAATCCATGCTGGTAGCTCAGTTTTTCGAGCTGTCCATGCTTACCTCAGCAGGAGAATTGATAATGGAGACCTGCAACCCATACTGGAAAGCTCCACCAATGCCCAGGATAAAAGCCAGGAGGAAGAGATTGTAGCTCATTTTCTGGCAGGAAATAAAAACAGCAAAAGAAAGCTGGTGCAACTATTCAGACGTGCCCCCAACTGTCCTGTTCTACCTCCAGGAACTCTAACAGCTTGAGCAATGCCACACGCCTGCCTCCTCTGAGACCAAGGAGTCCGCACAGAGTGCAATAGAAGACCACAGCTACTAAAGCACAGGACAGTGAAAAATCTGAGGAGAGAGAAAGCTCATAGCTGTCTCCCAGATCCCAGTTACACACTTCAGTGCTTCTGTCTTCAGTTTTGGCTGTCTTAATCTGCACTATCATAGAGTAACTAGTTGTGGAGCATGGTGCAATGTGCAAGCATTATGTGGACGATTTCCATCTATTTGTCCTTCCTCCTTCTTTCCCACTTGTTATCTTACCTAAAGGAATATTTTTCTCAGTGACTTTGCTGAGACTAGGTAAGCATTTGGGGATTCATTCCAGGTTCATAGTTTATTCACCCTTTCTTAGAACTATATGTGATAGGAGGCTTAAGAACACCCCCACAATATGGTACTGTGATACATGCACACCACCTCCCTCCCACTCCCACCGCTCTTTGTTATTGAGTGTCCTAGTGATAGTCTGTCCAGCATGATGCTGCACTTCTATCTCTGGAACAGATCATATTCATAAGCAATGCTGAGCAATGACTGCCAAACATTTATAAGCTGATTTCTAATCAGATGAGTGCCATTGATTGAATGGGCATCAAATTTATCCATGCTGCAACATTGCTGGCTTCAAAGGAGTCAGCTCTGAATAAATTTGGTATTTGTCACATTCATATGTTAAATGACAACAATCTCCTGTTTGACAAAGCACTAAGAAGAAATGAGATTCACAGTCTCTACTACTAGACATCCCTACTATCCTTTGTGCTCCAAAAAATGACACACATCAGCATGAAACTTCCCATCAGCAAGAAAATCACTAAGCCCTATTCTAAGTGCAAATTTTGTATCACACCTGCAGCCAATTTCTTAGTCTCCTCCCCACTCTGTACTATAACACCACTGCTTGATTTTTGTGTTGCATCTCTTGGGTGACTTTTCCAGTCTAACAAATTCAGGAAGATTTCTTTAACTTAATATTGTTTTTTAAAAACACTTTTGTTTTATCTTTTCTGGACATCTGTTCCAATACTTCCTTGACTGGAAAGGTTTGTTTTCCATCCTTTTGTGTTTACATCTTTCAGATACTTTGTTATTCATAACTCTTTTATTGTTGAGGACTTTCTCAGTCTTACAGCCCTCCTCCATCTATCAAATTATGTAGCTTTTTTTTTGTTGCTATGCTCTGAACTCGCTTGGTTTGTCTTTCCCTGTTATGTATCAGATATTAAATATAAATGTGCTCTTAAATCCAGTTTTCTTTACTTTTTAAAATATGTTCTTGCAAGCTATTTGATATCTTTCAGATATGACCTCATACTATTATTTTAACTACATCTAATTTAGATTTATCTTTTCTTTCTGAACTTATGCAACACATCTTTTAGAATAGCAGAAGGGCAAAAAATATGTACTGCAAAATTCTATTTGGGGGAAAAAAAAGATAAACTTATACCAACTTGTATGCAAAGGTGGTCATCTCCACTTGCAGACTAGGTCTTTCCTGATGCTTTCTTTTGTCACTTTGGAAAAAGTCACTCTATATAGAGAGAAGGAGGAGCCTGAGATAATAGTTCAACACGTCACTTAATTCTTTCTAAGTGTTCACACTCCCTTTGATTTGTCCTGAAGTTCTTGTTATTTGGTTTGTCATTATTGTATTGGTTACTGATGAAACTGCAGATAATTTTGGCAAGCTGTGTATTCATGCCAGGTCACTAGGGAAGAGAGGCTCCAGCAGCAGCTGACAGACAATAAGAGCTGCAGGAGATGGAAGCCAAAGTCCAGGGACTGGTGCAAACTAGAGTGGACTGGCTTGGACTCCCCAAGTCATAGGTTGGGTAATCAGTTATCACATTTAAAGGAAAAGTTCCTGACTGCTACTTTGAGCCTCAGTACAGCAAAGCCTTCCGAAGCCTGACTTGACCAAACCTGACTGAGTCTGTGTATACAACTCTTGAATTATGGGATCAGCTGGAACTTTAAGAATAATGGTCACTGCCTGAAAGTTCAAGCCTGTGTCCTTATAATACATGGTAGATACTAGGAAAGTTGAATGTCAATTTTAAATACTAACTGTAAAATAAATACACCTTTACTTTTATCCATAATTCTCAAAGCCTCTCTGAGCAGTCTCCAAGATAGTTCTGTTAAAAGGCTTTTACAAGTTATTCAAACAGCTTAGGGGAAATTCCTTCTCCTGGTGAGTGGCTGCACTTGGCGGTTCCCCAGACTAGGATGCTGCATGTCTTCCATGTCTGGAAGAATCTCAAGCCCAGCTGGGTTGGAGGTGGGATGTGACTTGTGCAGACGAGCATTGTTTGAAGACAGTGGCAGTAAATATTTTTCTCTGGTGTTGATGGTTATTAATCAATCCAACAGTGCATGGTGATTTGATTTGTAAACAAAAATATGAACCGTGAGTCTCTGAGGATCACTTTTCAAGATGTATTTTTGCCTAACACTTCACATGATAAGAAAATGGACCTGAACAAGTGTAATATATTTTTTCAGTTGCAGATATTTTAATTCAGTAACAATTAACCAACTTGTTAAATGTTTCAATTAAAATATAACTAATTAGACCAATTAAAATGTAACTATTGTTTGTCTTTGCTTAATCAGTCTAAAGACACTTGATTTCAGGCCATAGTCAGAAAAAAATGCTAGAAGTTGGAATTAGTGTTCTCTGACACATGTGCTTGCAGGACTGGCTCTGAAACTCAACAAGTAAATGTGTGTCATTTCTGAACAGGCGTGTTTCATACTGCCGGGTGCAGATGGCCTCCGTCCTTCCAGAGCTCTGGGGAGAGGCACAACAATACTGACTCATGGAGATATCCACAAAGGTGGCCAAGGTGAGGAGCTCAGGACAGTGGAGGACTTCTCCCAGTTTTAATCAATTCTTTTCTGACCTGTACATCCCAGCAGTGTGTGTCAGGCCTCTCCCTCTGCCCAGGCAGCCTCTTTAGTCCATCCCCTGCTTCCTAGCTTACATCTTCTCTATTGCCTTGTCTTCTTTGCTTCACTTCTGTCTCCTGTCCTTTCTTGGATCCTCATCAAAGGAATGAGAGTATTTTGATACCATCATGATGCTACCAGCACTTTTTGCTTTGACTGTGTTTTTTACTGTTTCCATCTGCCCCTCACTGCTCTCTCCAAACTGTAGAAGTGAAAAGAATCTCTGCAGGTCCCAGCTCCATGGAGTCCTGCTCTTAATTGTCTTGTCTCAAAATCCTGAGTATTTCAAAATCTCAATGTCCAAGAGCAGAGACACCTGCTCTTGCCCATGTCTATATACAAATGACTTCTGAAATGGCAGCAACGACAAATGAACAAAAGTTTAGTTTTATTTTTCCTGTTATAAACCTTAGGTAGTGAAAGATAGTTCTTGCACAGACTCCTCTTCTGAGAAATAGATCTGCTGCTCCACTCATGCCCCGCATGACAGTAATACACTCCAGAAATGTTTACAGTCTTGTCGTTCAAAAATGCTGGATTTTTTTTTTAAAATGTCTTTTAAAAATAAACTGAAAGAAACTTTAACTACTTATTTTTAAAATGTATGTGTTCTTATTTGCTGCAACCATCAGCAGTGCTGTGACTTTCATACAAAAAAAAAACCCAAACCAAACCAAACCAAAAGAGATGGCTTGATTGTGATTTTGAGAAGAAACTGGAAGAAACTTCACCAGGCAACCCAATGCCTTTGAAAGGCAATATTAAATAAGGAGTGTTGCCCTGTTTTGTACCAGTTTAGCTAGAATCACTATTACATCTGGGTCTTTTCCCCTGTGCTCTGGGGAGACAACAATATGCTGCAGAGTATGTTCTGCTGTGATCTAGATCTCCACATCCAAAATAAGCTGTGGCCATAGGAGCTCCTCACCACACTCTAAACTTAACAGAGCGCAGGTGTAAAACCCTACAAAATGCACTGGCAGTGTCCATGAGAGCAGTACGCACTGGACTAGACAATTACTGGAAAGACAACAAACAAGCCATGAAGAAAACTAGTCCCAAAACAATGCCCAAAAGTCAGTTGTATAATAAGCCACTTAGCAAGCACTAGAAGCTTTCTTCCTAATCCCTCTGTCACATGTTTTTATAGCTGAAAATAATTAACTGCTCACTATTGCTCAACAAGTAGAGAACTATTTGAAATCACTTAATAACAGAAACAAAGGGAACACCAAGACAAAGTATTGAGAATTTCATCTGGTGTCTGAAAACAGACTTTAACCATATTAATTTCTGTGTTAGAGCACCCAGATTCAAGGGCAAGGAAAGACAGGCTTCTGAGATGGAATTTCTGTTTGGGTGGAGGAGAGATATAGAAGAAATCAGGAAGAGATCTGCTAAAGCATTTCATGGTGTTGTTTGATGATAGAATAAGGCATCATTCTGTTACTCTCCAATACAGATTCTAAAATATGTATGTGTTAGCACTAAAAACTGAAAACAGATTATTAAACTTTCTTTGGGATTTACCAGTTCAAGTGTATCTTTTCCAGGTGGATCTAAGAACCTAAGAGTAATATATTGTCCCTAACTCTACTTCTCTCTTTGTGTCCCTGAAAGAGAGGGTAGCCACTGCTGAATGTCCCCCAGCTACCATCCTCCTTTCTTCTTCTACAACATGGTGGATTTGATCTCTTCAGGGCCTTTATAAAAAACTGCATGGGTCTGAGCTTTGAAGTTCCGTTTCTTGAACTCCTCTGAAATTTCCAGGAAGGACTTTCCCTTTGTCTCAGGAAGGAAAAACCCAACGTAGAGTGCAGTGCAGATGCAGACCACAAGGAATGGGATGTAGCAGAAATGTGCTAGACTTTTCTGAGGAGGAGGGAAAAACCAAGACAGTGTTGGTGGCATTCTGTGCAATGACAAATAGGCCACTAATCCCTGTTCCTGCATGGACTAACTCCATCTGGGGAGTATTTCTATGCACCCTGGTGAGGGTCTCACATTCATTGATGCAATAGCTCCCCAGCATTTTTTGGGAGGTCTGACATAGCAAGACAAGTATCTCAAAATGTCTTTTTCTGTCTTTCTTTCTATATATAATTGTAGAATGGGGACCCACCGTAGGAAATAAGACAGATTGAATATTGTGGAGTTCTGGTCCCTTTTACTTCAGAAACTTAGGGAATGGTGCCAGGGTCTGGCCAAGGGAAATAACATCACATCTCTAGTCCCAGCTGTTCCCAGCTGAGGAGAGAGAAGGAATATTGGTCATCCATGCCCCAAATTAATCTGCTTCCAGCCTCACATCAAAAATGTCCATAGGGAACATGGAGGAAGTTTGGTTTAGAGGAGTTCTGACCACTTTCCTCATAAAGACACTTTTCATGGCAGTGCTGTCTTGTTGTGTGTCTGCACCTTGTGATATTCTAGGCCCTATCTCTTTCCCTGGTCACTATCAGAGCCTCTTGCTTGTACAAAACACTGAAGAGCCTCAGGTGATTGCTTTGCCTTGGGAACCCACCACAATGAATGGAAAGGCTGTTCCGACCAGAAATAGGTTGAACCAGAGCAGAGAGCCACAGATCATGTAAGCAGCTGGCCGGGACATTTGATCAAAAACCTCTGTGGGCAGAACTCCTGTTACACCAGCTGGAAAAAGAAATGGCAAAAAAGTGAATAATACTGTTGGCATTATACTAAAAGCAAGAAAACACATACTAACATGCAAACCCAACAGGAAGTATATGAGAACAGTAAATTATTATTCAGTGAATTATTCTCGCTATTCGACAATGCTAGAACAAGTGGTAATAGAGATTAACTGCAATGGGGAAGTTTTAGGTTAATTATTAAGGACTGGCTAATTATTCAAACTCTCTCATGTTAGAATGAACTGCCGGGAAAGATTTTGTAATCCACATTATTCTCAACAGGACCCAACTGTGAGAATGGCTTATAATTAATTCAACCCCATGGCACTGTAGGGACTAGGACAAGAAATTACTGCTAACTCATATGGCATGTGACACTATCAGCTCGGTTCTTTTCTTACCTGCCTTCCTTCAAGTTCATGTAAGCAAACAGAGCCTCACATCTACTCACACACTGAACAAACACCTGCACACACAGAGCCTGTGTACTGCCCCCACAACCACAGAAACTAATGGATTCTGCCAAGAAAATGCATGGCAGTAGGGTAACAAATAGATGTGGAAATTGTGCTTCCAGGTACCTGCACGTAAATAATCATATGATGTAGCTGTCTAGGGTTAAAGTGAAGCATTAGAAATGCTGGTCTACATTTAAACCCAATAGGTTGGGCATTTATGACAAGAATCACCTCCAAGTGCCATCACAAGATGGCTGAAAGGGGCAATGGCACAAAGAATGGCACAAACTGTGCCTGCACAGCACTGATTTACCTGGGGCATGCAAGCCCCCATGAAACAGCTGAAAACTGCCGGCAGGAATTGCCTCATTCCTTCGAGTGTGCTGTGGCTGAAGAGGGTCTGAGAGCTATCCATAAGCTGCCTGCACACACCTCCAAGCCCCTGCAGTAGCCAAAAGTTTCAGTGAAAACACTGAGGGAACTGACCTGGTCCGATTCCAAAGCTCAGGATATAGGCGAAAATGCAGGCCATGCTGAGATAAGGCATCCAGCTAATCTGAGTCTACAGCCACAGAGACCAATGGAAAACCAGTGAGGCCACTTACACTTATTTGCCGCCACTAAACATCCCAGTCAATAAAAGGCAAAAGCCCAACTCCATTCCACTTAAATGAAGTAAAGTTTGTTACCTGCTGGCTCAGAGCAACCATGAAGACAATGGCCCATCCTGCCATGAAGATATATCCCCCCAGGAGCAGTGGCCTCCGACCAGCGTAGTCTATAATCATGTTCTGTACAAAGTAACACAATAGAATAAAGCAAGATACTTAACTTGTGTTTTTATTTCTGCCTGCTCCCTCTTCCCATTTCAATACTCCATACTTCATGCCTAGTTTGCTCTACAACTACTTTAAGGATGTTGTCCACTTATCAAAAAAAAAAAAAAAAAAGTTAAAGGAAAGAGTTTGCTGGCAGGAATCAGTCAAGAAGGGTGTTCAGGGGAGATGTGAATGTCCTGGCTGTAGCCTAACCTCTGCTGCTGTCCATACTGACATGAAACAAGAGAGTCACACTTTTCAGCGATTTCAGACAGTGATGATGATGCAGTGTCTGACAAAATACTTCTGAATTAACCTGTCTGGTCATGACTGCCGAGAGACTGCCTGGCTGATGTGCATAAAGGGCTTCCTTGGCATGAAAAGCAACACAAATTCAAAATCTGTAATTAACAGCCTCCTCACTGTCAACAGAGTCTGCATGTCAGCAGAGTGCATTGAGAGTCTCACACAAGTGACAGATGTGATGAGTTCACAGCTCCCCGTGCCGATTACAACATATGGGATTTTATCCTGAGGAATTCCAGCCTCTTGGAACACATAAGCTGCATAAAAATACATCTGGGGAGAGAAGAGAGAAGAAAGCAATAAGGGAAAATGTCTGAAAATACATCCCATCATTTCTGCTGAAGGACCATGCAGAGAAGGACTGATGTGCTGTCATACAGGCTATTTTGACAGCATCCCTCTGAGTCCTGCGATAATGCACAGGCATACTTTGGGAGCCAAGCATCTGAGGTTTGAAGATCTCCACAGGCAGAGCAGACCACTATTCATTCTGCAGCAGGAATGTTAAACCCAAGAGCTTGCACCCACGTCTCGTAATACAGTGCTGCCGCTGATTGCTGTGGCTGCCAGGCTGCTTACCGAGTCATTCCCGCAGAGCTGCATGGCGCTGCTCAGCACAACGATACTCATCAGCTGCCACCTCAAAGCTGGAGTTTGGAGGAGCTCCCAAGGGTTCTTCGCTCTCTGACCTTTAACAGCTGCCTGTTCAGCCAGCATCTCCTCCAGCTCTGCACTCAGGTCACTGTGGCCTCTGAGCTTCTGCAGGGCTGTAAGGACAAGGGAACCTCTTATTCCCTGACCTTTACCCGTGGTTGGCCTGCTCTGCGGGGTGAAGGACTGAGCAGCAAGTGATGGCGGCAGAAAGCTGTAGGACAGAGTCTGTGATCATGGTGTTACCTTCACAGAGATGGCCAGTTGGGGTGCAGCCACTTGAAGGATTTGGGAGGAGTGCAATCCCTCACCACTGTTTGACAAGATAATATTTCCAATCAGTACCATTTCAGCAGCCATGCTTCTAACTCATGAGTCTCGTGATCTCATGTGACTTCCCTGGGAAATGCAGGCAATTAAGATGTTCTTGGCACACAGCACATATCTCCTGGAAACTAATTCCAGATGCTCTGTATATGGGGATTTGTATGCTACAAATCTAAGCAAATCCCTTAATATGAATTGGCTTCAGATTTGGTCATGAGCTCTTCAACCAGCATTTATTTCACTTCATAGTTGGAAAACATATTCACCATCGTGAACACAACTCCCACTTTTTGACTCTTGTACCATTGTATCAAAAAAGTATTTTGTAGGAAGATGCCTTTCAGTTTTGTCAATATATCAAAAATATTTAAGATTACAGAATGTTCTTTACTTTGGAAGGAGGAATTGATCATATTTGGAACTTGATATGACACTTCCTACATGTAAAAGTTGTAGCACCATTCTCAAAATACTGGGGCCCAAGTCTGTGCACAAAGGTAGGATGCAAAGAAGCATACATTCATCTGTGTTCAGAATTACTGTGGTTGTTCACACAAATACATACCCAACCACCACCTGGGCACTGTTTAAGGGTGCACCAGCTTAATTACAATTACAAACACTGATGGCACTACATATTTTGTACAGACCAAATATGATCCTCTGGTTGAGAAAAAAATTATCCATGGCACTAGTGACATAGCCATGGTATTGGACTTAAAGCTTTTATGTTCATCTAAGGAGGCTGGCACAGTCACCAAACAGAATATTTGAATCTGGTTTGGACTGAACATGCTGGACTGTATGTTAAGAACAGGCAATCAACCTTCTTGCTGTTTATCTGCCCAGTCAGTAGATCTCGCATGCTCAGTGAGAGGCTAACACTCACCAGAGATGCAGGATTCTTCATCTCCACGGTCAATCAAGAGGTATCTGGGACTTTCAGGGAACCAAGGCAGAGCTGTGAGCTGGATGAGGGCAGGCACCACATTGCTAGCTAAAAGGAATGGCCAGTTCTCCTCCCCTCCTAGTAGCTCCCTAGAGTAAAAAAAACCCCAAAACTTAATTTACACAAGTACATTTTACAACCTGGTGAAAGCCCATCATCCTCAGCTCTAAGTGGGCACTGGAAAAGAAAGAAAAGAGAGGAGTAGTAAAGGGGGGAAAAAAAAAGGGGGGGGGGG